AGTTCTGTGATTGTCCAAGTTTTGGAGGCAAATTTCTTTAGATTATGTTATTCTGCTTTTGCATTAAATAGTTTCTGACATCATCCTTCATCAGTAACATAAACATAGAGTAGTATATTTCATTAAACTCTTAATCCCAATGCACCTGGGAATCTTTTGCATTTTTATTATGTTGATTTACTTCCTTTGAAACTGGTGAGATTTCTACATGGTCATAGAAAGAGTATTATTTTGTTGTTGTTATTGTTGAATGCTGATTGCAAAACGATCTTAAGAAAGTGGAAATTAGTGCTGGAATGTATCTTATATTTTCCAGAATCATCTCTGAAATTTATAGTTGAAATTTAATAGTCTAGTTCAAATTTAAAGACCAATACAGATATATGGGAACAGACTGTAAATACCAGTGTTTAGATGTTACTTCCTCTTAAAATATTTGGCTTTCTCCTTTAATGTATCAAACAAGAAAGTTTAAGAGGTTTTGCATACTATGGAACAAAAACAGATGTATTTTCCCAAGTATGAAGTTTATGTGTTTGTAACTTACAAACTGTTTATACTTAAAATGTTTCTGACATAACCTGTGTGGGATTTTTCTACACCAATCAATTCTCCAGCTCTAGATATGAAATGAGTGTCCTATAATTTAATTCGTTTCAGATACTAACTACACACAGACCCAAAAGATTAAGGAGTCTGTTCCATGAGGTTGTCCCTACTTTGTACTCCAGTTTTTTTTTTTTTTTTTTTTTTTTTCTTTTTTGGACAAGGCCCTTCGCCAACACAAAAAAGGTTTTTGGAAATTTTTTGCTTTAGTGTATGTGTGATAATTGGAGAGAAAGTGAGAAATCAGTCCCCAGGGTGGATTCCCAAGCCACAATCTCTTTTTCTACATTCTCCTCCTAGGATCTCATGGCATGCACCTACACATGCCTGGCATGATTTTTTTTCCTTTTTTTTCTTTTTTGGAGAGGTTTTTGCTATTGGGCACGTGCACTCGCCAGAAAGACAGAGAGAGACAGAGAGATAGAAAGTGAGAAATCACCCCCTAGAGGGGATGACCACGCCACAATCCCTTCTCCTCCATTCTCCTCTTGGGATCCTGGGCACGCACGCACATGCGCCCGGTGTGAGTTTAAGCCACTGGGTCTGGGACTTGAACTGCGATCAACTACATGGGAGTCCAGCGACATAGCCATTACACTAACTGCTGGTCCCTGTACTCCAATTTTAAATCTTGGGTCTCATTTACTTCTGACTGATCACAGTTCCCATGTCTTTCTCCTTAGTTTTGATAATTCACTAGAATGATTCACAGAATTTGGGAATACAGTTTATATTCTATTACTAGTTTATTTTACCCTTAAAATATGAATGAATGGCCAGATGTAAGAGATACATAGGACAAGGCCTGGAAGAGTCCCAGGTACAGGAGCTTCCGTCCCCATGGAGTTGGGGTATGCCATCCTTCAGGAATGTGGTAGTGTTCACCAATGGGAAGTTCTCTGATCTCTGTTTAGAGTTTTTTTTGAACCTTCATTATGTGGAGATGACTGATTAGATCATTAGCTATTGCTGATTGAACTCAATCACCAGCCTTTCTCTTTTCCCCAGTGGTTGGGGATGGGACTGAATGTTCTAGTGCTCTAATTATGGCTTAGTCCTTCTGGGGATGAGCCCTCAGCCTGAAGCTATCTAAGGGCCCACCAAGAGTGTTCTCAATAGAACAGAATATGCTCTTATCACCCAGGAAATTCTGGAGAATTTAGGATCTGTATGTCAGGGGCCAGAGATTAAGACCACATATGCATGGTTACCACAGAACCGAAACATAGTGGAAATAATTTAAGGTGTAGGAGATCTGAGCCATGACAGACACAAAGAGAAAACCATTTCTAAAGCTTTGGAATAATATTAACATTCTTTTAAAAATGTTTAAAAATATTTTAATGTTGTACTCTTTTTATTTTCATCCTCCATATGGCCATGTAAGGTTTTGATGTTTATGCTCATTTTTCTAGATGAATAGAGAGAAGTTCAATGTCTGGCATCTGAGCACATTGACACTCCAAAAGAAAACAAAGAAATTATAGATTGTGTGTTGTCTGCACAAGATGATTGCATCTTAACCTAGGGATACAGCTTGATAGAGAGTACACCAAAGTCATTATTGATAAGCATTTATAATGCAGTCCAAGGCTCTGAGTAGAGAAGGTTATCTGAGGAACAGATTGCCTCCCTTTATTTCTAAGGAGAGATACCCATTGCCAGGTCTTCACTGGATAACTGTGAGTACAATGAAGCAGCAGATGAAGGATAACTGTTAGTGCAGAATTCTTAAGGCTAGAGTTTTCAACACAGTTAAGAGCTATTATTGAGGGACTTTCAATAGGACTTGGAGCATAGGATATAGGATGGATATAGACTTGGCTAAAGATTTTAAGTCATGGACAAAGACAAACTGAGAGCTTGGGGAATAGAAAGGTCCGAGAGTTGTGGGTTGACCCTACTGAGAAAGCTGATTTGATTTAGAGGGCAAAAGTTGGAGTAGAGAGTGGAAAAACCAGCCGGAATTGAGGGAATGAAGAAGGCAAGTAGACTAGAAGCCCATACCTACAGTGAAACTGTGAAAGAGAAGCAAATGGGAGAAGTAGTAAGGGATGAAATTAGGAAGATAGCCTGTTGTTGGAGGCAGCAGGGACAAGTGGGCCCTTTTCCTACCAGTAGTGAGTGAGCCATGCATCACAAACGATTACCCTGGTAGCTGTGGAAGGTGTGAGAAAATACTGCAGCAAGAAAGGTCATCTTGTAGCAGAGAGGAAAACGGAAAAGTTTCTGAGAAACCGATCCATTCACCTGGCCATTTATTATAGTTACCAATGTGTCAGTAGTACACAAGAGCATTTCTGATTTGTCAAATGGCATGATAATGACTGCTTAAACTTGTTGAGTACATGCAGGCAAGGGTTTATTATATGATCATTTCAGAATAATACCTCTTTTTAAAAAGGTTAAAGACTTAATGCTTAAAAGGGGGGAAATACTCACGTGCAAAATCTGCAAACATGACTCAGGTCCCACCAACAGTACTGGGGGCATTGGTGTTTGCCAGCAATGTTAACTTTTAAAATTTAATTCAGATGAATTATTTTTGTTATTTTTAGTTATTTTTGCTTTGTTCTGATGTTTCAGCCCATGTGGTTCATGGCCCTGCCTTGGCATTCTGGTTGTGTTAACACAAATTCACTCTATCCTGTTGCTTTTGTCTCCTTTCCTTTTTTGATCTACCGTTAAAAAATAAGACTTTATTGGGACCAACAGGTGGCATGGTAATTAAGGCACTGGACTACCACATGGCCAACTATGGTTCAAGCCCTGGACCTGGTGGCTTGAGAATCGTGCTAGGTGTGTGTGCATGCATGCCCAAAATCCTGAGAAGAGAATGACGGGGAAGGGTTTGCGGCATGGTCAATGCCCTGGTGATTTCTCACTTTCTCTTTGTCTCTCTCAGATGGGCATACCTGCCCAATGGAAAAACCAAAAAACGGGCTTTATTTGCAACATAAATAAAGTCATCACCTGCATCTAAGAATATGCCCTTGTATTTTTAATATTTATAATTTTTATAGAATGTTGTTTATAAGTTCTTAAAGAATTTATAAGGGTTGAGGATGGGGTAGTTTCTTTGATTATTTTTTGTCATATTTGGCTACATCACTTCTTCCTCAGATTAACCTCCCTGGATGGGGCACTGTGTTGCTTCATGCAGACCCACCATTTATTGTGCATCCATGTGCACAGAGATGTTTTCGACTCTTTCCTGGAGACATGAAATATGAAAGAGTCCTTGTGGTTCTATAGGCATTTGCATTCTATCCCTTCTTTGGTAAAGCAGTGGAATAGAGGAGAGTTTTATAAGCAGTTCCTCTTCTCTGGTCTCCTGTTGGACATTGAGGAGAGTATTGATCAGCTTTTGCAGGTGGGTGTTGGGAGCAGGCAAAGCCCTTCTGGGCTGTGTAAGATCCTGAGTTGGATGTAGAATGGCTTCATTCAATTAATTAAAAATCCACTTTAGATCTGCAGATAAAAGAAAATAATAGGTCCTCAGGCATTTTTGTACTTTGCACCCAACTGATATATTCCCAAATACATCAGTTCCTATGTAAAATAGCAGGATTTATTTGCAGCTATTACTTCCTCTGGGACAGACTGCAAATACATTTATTTATACAGACTGTAAGTTATGAGGTGACCTCCATCTCAGCAAGATAAATTCTTGTACCCAGAGTCCAGCCAATCTCATCTATTGCCATATAGCTAAAGTGGAGATTGAAATTTGTTTTCCGGAAGAGGCAGGGAAGCCTCATCTCTCACATGTAAGGTTCCTGTGTATGGGTTATAAAACTGTCAGACACCTATTAAAAAGAGGGTGTTGCTCATCGTTATTGAGTAGAAGTCAGGTTCTGAATGTCTGCCGGGCAGTTTTGAATTTTTGTGTGTGCCCATCTCCAAGATGAGGGCTCACTACCAGGAACTGCTAAGCTGTGTGCTCTTAGTCACAGGAGATGTGGGGGAAGGGGATCAGACTATCACCCACAAGGTATTCACTAAAGCTCTGGGATATAACTCCGCTAGTAAGAGGCCAGGTTCTGAAGATACCCCTGCTGTGTTTAGGATGACTGATTGTCTCCATTACCCTGCTGTGCTTCAGTAGGTAGCACCTTGGAAGATCAAAGCAATGTAATGTAAATTTTTTGGCTTAGTATAAATTTAAGCATGGCCACAAAGGCTTGTTGCCTCTCCCTTGGAAAAGCAATTTAGCTGGCAGAAAATAATTAAATCCACGGTATCTTGCAAAAATTAGAAATTTGAAATGGGGAGGGTTAATTATTTCCATCAGATTTCAGTTGCCCATAAAATGCTCAAGGAAAAATCTCCAGACAGTTGCTGAGGTAATTCACAGGAGCGAGACTTTCAGTATTTTATCTTTCTCCCTGCAGGATCATGCAGATTTGCGAAGCCATTTCTTCACAGTTGGGATGAAGCTAGAGACAGTGAATATGAGTGAGCCCTTCCATATCTGTCCTGCATCAGTGACCAAGGTGAGTTTTCTCCCCTTGTGCTTTGCCCCAATCCCCAGAGCGGATCAAATTAAGTCTTTCAGCTCAAAGCCAACCAGATGAAACATACTTGTGCAAGAATACACAGCAGTGCCAAATAAACCAAAGACTGGTAGCCCTTTCTGCAGTCTAAGATGGCTTTAAGCTCTTTTTACCACTGGTATCATCAAGTGAGTCTAATCATATGCCTCCTTTTTAACAGACGGGGGAATTTTCCTTGACTTCTGGTCAGCGTCTGTGGATGAGCTGCCTGTTACAATCCTTGCAAGAGTAACTTCTCTCCCTCTCTTTCCATGGGAGGTAGTGAATACGATCTAGTTATATTTTGAAAATACCTGAAAGGGATGAAAGGCAAATTTTCATCTCCCGTGTGTGATCATTTCTATGTCCTTTTTTCTCATCTGAATGTTTTCATCGACTAAAGAGAAACTCACACTTGAAAAATTTACAGATGCAAAGTGAAATTACTTTGTTATGTAGAGGCATATTGTGATGAGTGGATACTTTTTTATGATTATAGTATTCTGGGCCAGCTGGTGAGGTGATGGTCAAGGTAGCTGAATCCCACATGGCTGATTGCACAGTTCGAGTCCAAAATCAGTAGCTTGAGAATGACATTGGACATGTGTTTATACCCAAAATCTCAAAAGGAGAATGGAGGAGAAGAGATTATGGCATGGCCATCCTCCCAGGGGGTACTTTCTCACCCCCTACCTTCCACTACTAACAACAACAATAAAAAAGATGATAATAGCCCCTCCCTATATAAGAAATCTCAGTTACATCATTTACAGTTACACCTAAATTGCATGTTTCCACATTGACTATTCTTCTATGAATGATGGGAGAAACCATCAAGCTTCACATTCTCACCCAATGTGCATTTTGGTTAAGGGCCTTTGGTGATTTTTCAGTGGGAGAACTTAATTAAAGACTCAAAAATCGATTCCATTTTAACTTATTTTTCTGGAGGAAATTAGACAGGCACATGCAGCACTTAGTTTTCTATCATTATCTGAGTCATGCTTTAAAAAAAATTCACAATTAGGTAAAATTTGATAAATTTAGTGGTGATAACTCTATTATAGAATATAGAAAATAGTTATCATAATGAAATGCTTTTTCTTTTCTAAATGTTTTCTCCCTGGTGACTATAAGTGATTTTCATAACTGTTAAAGAATTCCTTTAAAGTAATTTCGATTATTTGAAGTAATTTATTTAAGGCAAACATACTGACTTACACTGCTGATTGGCAATCTTGAGTTTAAACCTTAAGTACCCCATTCTTCTAATGTCTATTAAACCTTTTTATTTGTGATAGCTAATGGGACTCTTCACTCCGTATTCATGTAGTTGTCACATCTTTTTCCAAAAGTAAAGAGTTGTACCTTCTTAAAACCTGGCCAGGGTTTCTGTTTGTTCCTGCAGTGATTGATACAGTAATGCTTGCTTTTCATTTATCTGAATATTTAGCATATTGCTTTTATTCTGAAAGGCCACAATGTCAGCTTCACCTGGCAGTTATGAAATAAACCAAGTCGAGCTGTTGTGCTTAGCCTATCAGAGGTAGCTTACCTCACAGTTTTATACCTTTAAATAATTATAATATATAACTTTAGAGTATGACATTCTAATTATAATTAGTCACAACCCAAGTATCTTTATCTGGTTAGATAGCCTTCCAGTGATTATATAATTTTCATAATAAAGAGTTTTCTCTCACAATAGATTTCATAGTGGGGAGGGGAGATGTATTTCCACTGATTTTTAACCTATAGTCTCCTTTTCATTTTATTTTTCCTGACCCTTTGTACGAAAGAGGAAACTCTAAAGTCATTCTGTTTCCTGTGTGCCTCTTCTCCTATAGGTCACGCATTGTGTGATGTGTGGGTGGAGCATGTGCTTCTGTGTCTTGGAACCTGGGTAGACACTTCCCCAAGTTTAAGCCTCGTCTTCATGTAATGAAGCATCAGAGTATTAGTGTAGGAGATACTTATCATTAAATATACTTCTGTTAACACTGGAAAATGTTTGAGGATATTATGTTTGAGGGTTTAACACACTGTCATTACTCAAGATAATGAAATTTTTTTCCCTTCCCTTGGGGCTTTTCCTCATGGCACCACTGTTAAAGAAGTAAGTAAATAAAATTAAAGCAAACAGACAAGAATGCAATGTAGCCTGTAGCAATGTCAGAATTAAATGACCAACCTTTCGCAGTATAATGGGATTGTATGTTTGATGTCCTGAAACAGAGTGAGATATTGACAGATGATGATAAAATGATAATATGATCTAGCTATGGAAACTGTATTGTATAGTTTAGAAAAAAAGGATGGTGGAATCAGAAGTCTTTGGTTTATTTCTATTTCTGCCAGATCCGAGCTGTACAATCTCAGGCAAGTCAGTTAACTGCTCTGGGCGTACAGGAGTTTCCTCTCCTGCCTAGCTTTGAACGAGGTTGCTTCTAGAGAATACTTTGTAAATAAAGGAGCTAGGACTCCTAGCTTAGTAAAAACGTTACGATTTCCCAAGGAAGAGTGGTATCTGCTGAGTTGAGAAAAGTACCTTCTCCCCCGACCCCTTCTATTTTACGTACTAGGTTCTTTAAATCTGTCATGCTTTTCAATGTTGGTGTCTACTTGATATTTTTGTGCTTTCTTTTGTTTATCAATGTGCATTGTTCCTGTTTCCTCACTGATGCTTTTTCTTTTTCTTTTTTTTTTTAGAGATTTTTGCTATAGGGCGCATGCACTCGCCAGATAGACAGAGAGAGACAGAGAGACAGAGAGTGAGAAATCACCCCCCAGGGGGGATGGTCACGCCGCAATCCCTTCTCCTCCATTCTCCTCTCGGGATCTTGGGCACACACGCACACGCGCCCGGCGTGAGTTTTAAGCTGCCGGGTCCAGGATGTGAACGGCGGGCGACTACTTGGGAGTCCAGCGACATAGCCATTGCGCTAACTGCTGGTCCCCTGATGCTTTTTCTTATAATCACTAGATATTTATTCAGTTCCATGTACAAAGCATTTTATGCTTGGTGAGAATACCCTGATGAAAAAAGAGACTTTGTCCTCAAGGAATTTATTGTGTATTGGGGGAAGTGATGTTTTATCGGTCCACAGGAAGGAGGGGAATTTCAGTACAGAGGTTCAAGTCTGATGCTTTTGGACCACAGAGCAGGGGCCCTTTATTCCAACCGGAGCATCATCCCACATCTTAAAAAATTCAGTCTTGATAGATTAAAGATGAAGTTGGAACTTACTGTATATATTATTATAAATGATTGAGGTGATGAGTATAGTCATTATGCTGATTTAATCATTCCATGTAGTGTTCATGTACTGAAAAATCACTCTGTATCAATCATTATGTTAATAAAACTAAGTATTAATTTTTTTAAATGGGGTGTTGAAAGCATGAGAATAAACACTGAAGAAGCACAGGCTTAGCGTGAATGGTTTCCTCTCAGGCTGGAGGTCGAGTGTTTGGAGGGATGATGTCAGACAAGGCTAGAGATGGCTGAAACCAGACCTTGGAGGAGCTGGGATGATCTGGGGAAAGGGTGTAAAGCCTGCAGTGAACACTGAGAAGTTTGTTTTCCCTTCAGTTGTGGCCATTTGGTTTACTCATCTGAATCTTTGATTTTGTTCACTCTCTTCAAAAAGTTGGTTATTTGTGAATTTCCATTAATATGACCACAGTGATTGAGTCTATCTTTTCAGCAGCCAGTTTAATTTAGTAATACATTTTGAAATGGCAGGTTATGCCCAGCTAACTTGGATGAAATTTATTAACAGCCTTTAGAAGTGGTGCCAGTATTTCATACTAGGATTATATATAATGCCAAGGGATAATCTTTGGTTCTATTTTTTTTTCTTTCAGGTTTTTAACAATCATTTTTTTCAAGTGACTATTGACGACCTAAGATCAGAACCTAGTAAACTCTCAATGCTGTGCCATGCAGACTCTTTGGGGATTTTGCCAGTACAATGGTGCCTTAAAAATGGAGTCAATCTCACTCCTCCCAAAGGTTTGTATATTGTGGAAATTATCATTGAAGTCATGTCTTCTCTACTCTAGACAAGTTTATATTGTAAAGAATTTGGTGTTGTGGAAATACAAGGGATGTCAAAAACGGAAAAAAGAGAAAGTCTGAGTTTCTTTTGGTGCCAAGTTTATTGCAATCCAAGCAAATTTTTCATAATACACATTTTTCATAAACTTATTTGCAGATCCCTTATATCGTGGTGCGCTTAGCTTGACATAGGTTTAATTACAACTCCCTCCTCTGGTACGGTGTATGGCCTTGGGCTTTTCAGCTATCTGTCAGCCCTGGTTTCCCATCAGGTGTGTCACTGGCAGCTATCTGATGCTGTATAGCGACAGAGGATGCAGCATTGCTGAATGATTGAGGTTAAAGATTAGAAAATGTTTGAGAAGTGGCTTTCAATATAAAAAAATGCTAATAAAGCATGTTTGTTGATTTTATTTCCAACAACCCATATTTTCCCTGAGTTCAATTGCTCTCAGATATCTAACAAGGATGCTGTAGTACATTAAATAAAATGGAAGCCAGGATGCATTAAAATAATGTTACACTGGGATCCAAGAACCATATTCTTAGTAAGTACCACTCTGGTATTAATAACAGTATAGCATTGTGGTTTGTTGTCCCCCATAGAGCCCAGGTTTATTCAAAAAGAGAGCAAATAAGACGAAAGGGGAGAATATTAGAAAGACAATAAAGGAAAGAGTAGAGAACGTTGGAAAGATATTAGCAAAATCAATTTGTGTTGGGGGAGTGGGGAGGTGGATTTTAACAGGCAACCTTAAATAATGCAGGCATGTTGTACTAACCTTTTCAGATCTTTAGAGACTAGATTACTTGTGGCATTAACCATATTGCGAGAATAATTTATGCTCAAAGGTTAGGTTCCCATTTGCCTGGTGGCCACCATATACTGCGCACATCATGTAATTATGCTGTGTTGAGCTTATCTTTGTATTCTGATGGGCTTCTGTCCTCATTTTTCCCTTGTGGAGGAGATGCTTTAGAACATTTCCATTTCAGCTGTCAACGCTTGAAATCAAAGTTGTGCAGTGGCGTTGCAACGTAGCGATGATATGGTGAACTTTCATGTCGCACTGTTTACTGGTTCCATCTCATCGAACCTGGCTAGGCACCTCCCCAGGTTTAAGGCTCCTCTTCCTGTAATGAGGCATTAGAATATTCCTAGGGTAAAAGATATTTATCATTAAATATACTTTTTTTAACACTGGAAACTGTTTTAGAAGATTGTGTTTGAAGGTTTAATACACTGTCATTACTCATCATAATGAACATTTCATTTTTTTCCTCCTTGGGGCTTTTCCTCATGGCACAGCTGTTGCAGATATAAGTAAATGGCATAAAGCAAACAGACAAGAATGCAGACTAGCCTGTAGCAGATTCGGTATTAAGTGACTAGCCTTCAGTAGTACAGTAGGATTGTATTTTTGGTGTTCTAGAACCAAGGAGTACTGGCAGATGTTTAACTCATTTAATCCTCAAAACATTATTATAATCCTGGGCGTGATAGTGTGACCCTGTAGTCCCAGCTACTGAGGGGGCTGAAGCAAGAGGATCGTGAGTTTGAGAATAGCTTGGCAAACATAATGAAAGCCTGTCTCTTAAGTAATAATAATAATAATAATAATATAAGGGAACTTAGTTACAGAAAAGTTACATAATGTGCTCAAGGTTACAGGAATTGTCAGTGGCAAGGAGGAGGTTCCTGATCCTGAGCCTGGGTCTGGATGACAGTGATGAGGGCTCCAGTTTGAGAGCCCTAAGTGTCTGTTTCCAAATTGGTTTTGGCCAGTTTTGTGACCTGAGCCAAATAACTGACTCAGTTTTCAAGACCATCAAATGGAGACACCTATGGTATTCCCCTGGTATCCCATAGAAACAATTAAATAATAGTCTGAGAATTTTATTAGAAAAGTGTTATTTATTTGATTTTATGAATTACTATTATTATTTTTTAATTTGACAGAGAGAGACAGAGAAAGAGAGAGAGGGGGAAAGTGAGAAAGCAAGCTTCCAGGTCTGGGACTTGAACCGCGGTCAACCATGTAGGAGTTTGGTGCTCCAAATACCACCTGCTGGCCCCAGTCTATGAAGTTTTTAATATGACCGTGTAGGTTTTGTATGATCAGTGATCTGTTGGTAGTAGATACTAAGTTCTTTATTGCTGTGGGATTTCAATAACAGGTCACCAGTAGAGTTTATAACCTTTAGGTCCATCGTTTTGTCCTAATTTTCCTGTGAAGCACGTGTTTGTGTTTGTGGGGGGGATGAGAATTAATCCCATGTCATCTAAAGAAAACTTGCTAAGTATCTGAAATGCTCATTGTCTAGACTTTGCAAAAATGGTCAGGTATACTGGGCCAGCAGTTGGTGTAGTGGTTAAGGCACTGGACTCAGACATGGCTAACCATGGTTTGAGTCCTAGACCCAATGGCTTGAAATGCATGCTGGGTGTGGATGCGTGTGTGCCTCAAATCCTGAGAGAATAGAAGAAAAGGGACTGTGGCATGGCCATTCCGCCAAGGGGTGATTTCTTGCTTTCTGTCTCTCTGACGTGTGCATATGCCCTATAGCAAAAATCTCTCTCTTAAAAAAAAAAAAGCCAGATATTTTTCTCATGTAGTAGAAAGACAAAATGGGTGTCTATATTTTGTCTGCTTGGTTATCCCATTATGACAGAGGTGTCACATTGGCTAGTATTTTTAGGATTTTTAAACACATTTCCTATAAATTGTCAAAACCACATTTCAGAAAAGATTGTTGACATGGCTTAGATATTTACTAGGAAAATGAATGTGCCTATATGGACACTTGTAGTTTCTAATGTTAAGAGAATTGCTGTGTATTACTGTAATTATTGAGCTCTTAAAAGGCAATAGAAGGACTGCACAAAAATATAAAATTAAACATTTTCATATTTTAAGCTTTAATATTTAGTCGCCATTGTTATTTCTTTTCTATCCCCCAAGTATTTGAGATGTTTGGTGAGTTGAAATTGTCTTCATGGTTTCTTTGAAACAGTTCCTTCCCTTACTGAAAGTGAAAGTTGCCTTTTTCAAAATCTCCAAAAAAATAAAAAAGTTTCACCACTAATGTTATCTACCTGGGAACTTCAGAAGTTTGTGGAGATTTAGCCTCTTGTGGCACAGTTCCTTATATATAAACTATAGCAGGGAAAGCCACATGGCCAGCCCAGGATTTGATCCCTGGGTTGGCCTGAAAAACACCTGGGTGCCCGTGTGCATGCCCAACATCTTGATGAACTGGAGGACTAAAGAAAGGGGATTATAGCACAGTGAGGCCCTGTGTAGGGTTCTCTCTCACAGGTGCGTGTACTCTCCATCGTGAGCAAAATAAATAAATAAATAAATAAATAAAACTTTTTAAAAAAGTAAATGGAAAAATAGAATTAAAGCCTGAGTTTTCAATCCTGGAAGCTTGAAAAACATGTCAGAGGCATGCGCACAGGTGCCTCGGATCCTGAGGGCTGGAGAAATGCAGGAAAAGGGATCACAGAGAGGTTACACCCCACTAAAGGTTTTTTTCTCTCTCTCTTTGTTTCTCTCTGGTAATTACACACACTCTCTGGCAATTAAAAAAAAAAAAAGAAAAAGGAAACCACTGGTCTTAAGATTCTAAATCTAATAACTATATTCACACTTTATTGATGTTTTCTCTCACTGATATTTCCATAAAATCCATCCATCTCAGTAATTTGGGGAAATCTTGGCGGCCCACAACAGAAATAGCTGATGTCAATGGGCCATGACTTCTACATGATTGAAATGGTCTAGATTTCAAAGCAGTTGGAAAATTAGAATTTTAGGGAATGATTTTCCAAGTGTCTGTAGTTATAACAAAGTCACAGCTTTATTTATGGAGTCTTAACATCTTGTGAGAGTGGAATATATCTTATTTATTTTTGTAATTAAAATAAATTAGTATTTAGAGGTCGTGGATTTCACAGTGGTGGTTTTTTTTTTTTTAATTTTCCTTTGAGGTAGTTTATTATATTTCTTATGTTGCAGCAACACTAGGTCTGGGAATTATGCCATAGATTTTTTTTTTTTTCTAAACACCATTCTTTGCTTTATTGGTGTAAGGATGTAGAAGCTTTTATAAAAGTTTGCCTTTTTACTTAAATTTTGAAGTCTGTGTATAGAATGTGCACTGTACATATTGCCAGGTGATTTTAGAAGTATTCATGTATCTATGTTTTTTAGGAATGTATTATGTTGCTAAGTTTTCTGATAAAACCACTACAACCCTTACAACAGCATATATCCTGACCCTCAAAGGATGTTAGGTGTGTTAGGTGTGTGTCTGCCACTTTGAGCAGCTACTGGGCTTGAGAAAACTAGGTCAATGCCCTTTCCATCCTTGTCATACCAGCAACAAATTAGACTCTGGCAAAGAGAGTTACTGAACAAATGAATGCATTTCCTCATTTTAGAAAGTGTTCTTGCTTTGAAGGATTTCGATTTTTTTTTTTTTGAGAGATTTTTGCTATAGGGCACGTGTGCTCGCTAGACAGACAGAGAGAGACAGAGAGACAGAAAGCGAGAAATCACTCCCCGTGGGGTGGGGGGAGTGGCCACGCCACAATCCCTTCTCCTCCATTCTCCTTTCGGGTTCTTGGGCACGCACGCACATGCGCCGGGTGTGAGTTTTAAGCCACCGGGTTCAGGACGCGAACTGCAGTAGACTACGTGGGAGTCCAGCGACATAGCCATTACGCTAACTGCTGGTGCCAAAGGACTTCGATTTTTAAAAATAATTTAAAAAGTTACAAATATTAATGCATATTCATAACCAAATAAAATAACTTGCTCTACATCCCTTTAGATTTGTTTCCTTGAATAGGCAACTTTGTACACCTATTTAATTACTTTATTGGATTTCATAACTAGCTCTTGTTGCTTACTGGTGTCTGACAGCTCTGAAAATAGCTTGTGTATTTG